AACTACAACCAGCATTAATCATCATCAACGGGAGAGATTTGACAGAGGTCACTTCTTTCACTCATCTTGCCAGGAAGCACGGTTTCAACCACAGGGAGTCAGACAGCATGGGTGAAGTTGTCAGAGACAGCCAGTCAGAATCGGAAAGGCAAGATACGCCTTCATCGGCCTGAAACCAGTTTGGAAATCTTTTGCACTACACCCAGCCAGAATAAACAGGAAGATTCGAATTTTTAACACAAATATGAAGTCAGTCAGTCAGTTCTTCTATACGAGTCAGGAACTTAGTGAGCGCGTTACGGAAAGGATCTTCAACAGTTTACAGACTTTTATCGACAGCTGCCACCTTCACTGGCTGACTCCATACTGAAGATCAAATGGCCCGCCGGCGGACCGGACAGATAGAATTAGCAAGAAAAAACTCTGATTGGTTTGTTCAAAACCAACCAAGAGCTGATTACTCATCGAATATGTGGGGGGAAATGAAGATGGATCGGTCGGGCTAACATTGAGGAGGCCGTTGAATGACAACGCACGCAATGCATGCCACTATTCGAGTGAAATCTCAATCGGAAGGGACGAGTGGGTAGTCGGTGAGAGGGTAACATGGAGGAGGTTGTGCGAGAAGCAGATGAGATATTACTGTCAATCGTGCATCCAGCTGAAGAGAACAGCAGAAAACAGAAGCAAATGGAGATGTGTTGGTGAGGCCCTATGTTCCACTTGGAACCCAAGGGAATAATAATAGTAATAAGAAATCCAAAATCTATACATTCTATGAGCTATCCTGTATATGACATTATTTCTTTTGTCACTTGATATTTAACTATGATTATAATCACAAACACTTTAATTGCATATATATATATATATATATATATAAATCTCATCTGAAATACCTCTTTCCACCTTCACAAAAATCTAAATTCATGGGCCATTGGATCGGGTCCCAGTGACTCAATGGTCTACGAGCTACCTCACCAGAAGGTCCTGGGTTCGAACCCGTTGGTGGGTGCGTACTGATGAAGAGTTAGTCCCAAACTAGGACAAAACATATGTCCAGTACTCCCAGGTTTTCCAGTGGTTTTCTAACTGGTATCAGCTCATGATGAAATCTTCCATCCAATCAAACTAAATCCCTACAAAACAAATACTTGAAAACATAATTTTCTGTTTCTTCTGGTGGGATTAAACGCTTCCGTGTAATCCACTGATTTTAATTTATCCATCTGAATGATTCCCTTATGAACTTTGACATTCAATTTCCCAACAACACGACATCTGTGGAATCTAATTAGTTCAGAATGCTACTTATTTAATTGCAGAGTGTATCCCTAGTTCCGTTCAGTTTATAATTATTCCTAGGGAAGACAGGAATGACAGAAATACAATGGAATTATGTGTTGGCTCATTGACATCCAATGGTGGTTTTCTTTGGAACGTAAATGTGTTCAGGTCACTACCTTTAAAATCTGTATCAGTACTGAGAATATAATCTGCCATAAAGTTGGCACTACTGGCTGGCATGAGTAGTTACTGCAACATAGTCAAAATATACCCTCTCTCTCTCTCTCTCACACACACACACACACAATTTGTTTATTGCTGTGGTTAGACACTGTAGTTTCGGAACTCTAACGCTTTGAGCAACACTGACGTCAGCCAGACTGAATGCTGACAATTCAGCATCAGTAGTCAAAAATACTTAGGATGTAAATGGCTGATTATTAAACAGGGAAGAAATTTTAAGAGCTGCTTAAAGATAACAATTCTATGAGTCTTTATTAGTATTGAAGAAACTGAGGATTCGACTGAAGCATATTTATATCATAACAGATATGTTAGGCGTCATACTAAGGAAGAGTATTCGACACCCCGCATAGGCTATTGAATAAAGACGAATTCCTAAGGTAAGCCATTTCAAAACCTTCTGCTTTAAACCTGGTTAGTCTATTAAACTGAAACGTTCTAATGAATGACCATTGGACAAATATATCTAAAATTTATCAGCTAAAAGGTGAGAAAGTAACTCATCGAAGAAGACATTGCGAAGTGGTCATGAATTCGCAGAAATTGGCATTCATGGACTGGCCATTGGATAGGACGGGTCCCAGTGGCTTACTGGTCTACGAGCTCACCTTGTAACCAGGAGGTCGTGAGTTCGAATCCCTGTGGTGAGTGCGTATTGATGAAGAGTCTCAAACTAGGGCGAAACAGCTGGCTATCCATTATTCCCAGGTGGCTGTAACTGATGTCAGCTTCTAATAAAATCCTCCGACTGAAATGTTTTTCTTGTTTGCTAGAGAGTAGAACAGAGATGTGTACGAGTTTTGAGTGTTTATGCAGCGGTAATTCACACACATGACTGCCGTCTGACTCCAGAGTCCAACTCACTTCTAAACTTCGGTTAGCATGGAGAAGAAGGAAGGTCAGATTTGCATGACGTTATCAACCCACCGTTTAAAGACAAAATAACACCGCAACTAGTGAAACTTCAGAGCTCAAGCTTGAAGCCCTTCGTTCCACTTGGAATACATTTACGCTAAAAATTTATTCATTGACATCATTTGTTCAAAGTTTGTTTTATTTCTTTATCCCTGCTTGAGACGTAATTTATTTGTTTAAATTATGCGTTATCCAGAGTTGATCAAGTTTAAACAATTTACTAAACAATTACAACGTAAAAAAGAAAACCTGAGAGTACTGAGCTGCTGTTTCCTTCGTCTTAGTTTGGGACTCTTCATCAGTACGCACACACCACCGGGGGTCGAACCCACGACCTTCTTGTTACAAGGCAAGGTAGCTCGTAGACCATTAAGTCACTAAGACCCGCCCTATCCAATGGTCAGTTCATGAATTCTAACTACTGTCAATTCATGACATAGCGCGACCACTTCGTAATGTCTTCTTCGATGAGTTACTGCCTCATCTTGAAGCTGTTAAACCCTACTGGTCACGGCTTCCCACTAGAACCCTAGGTAACTGCCTGAATACGCCCAGTCGCTAGTGAGCATCAGATGAATTTTCAAGTATTGGTTTTCCTAGGGAGGTAGAAGGTGAGTCAGTAACTCATCAAAGAAGACATTACGAAGTGGTCGCGCTATGTCATAAATTGGCAGAAGGTAGCATTCATGGACAGGCCATTGATAGGGTGAGTCCCAGTGACTTAATGGTCTACGACCTACCTCGCCTTGTAACAAGAAGGTCGTGGGTTCAAACCCTGGTGATGGTTGCGTATTGATGAAGAGTCTCAAACTAGACGAAAGAGCTATCCAGTACTCCCAGGTTTTCCGATGGTTCTCAAACTGATGTCAGATTATGGTGGAAGCCTGAAACCAATCAAACTAAATCCCTACAAAAGTCAATACTTGAAAAAATTAAAAGCCAGAAAAAATGAAATAACAAAAATAAATGATGATTAATAATATCCGGATAATTCCGTCGAAGAAGCCATGGCTTACACAGCGAAATGTACAGAAAAATCTTGTTTTGACTTGTTTTCTTAAACACGCTTGGATTATTTTCAATAGTTTATAAAAATAAATCGATATTTATCAGAAATATTTTTATAGGTGAATACCTATGAAGTACAATACCCATAAATCTTTCTACAAGCTTCCCTTAGAATATTTGTAATACCTAAGAATTCATTTGGACAGATCCCACTTACTTATGCTGATTAGTAGCATATTTTGCAAATATAAATCTTGATGAATAAAATGTGAAAACTCCCATAAGATATTTCAGCGAAAGTTTCCTTTTTCAACTAAGTAAAGCTGTATCAAGCTATACATTCCCATATATGTGTACCCATACTCAGTCCTTATTGTTTATGCTCGCAGAATTCTGCCACTGCGAAGCACTTTCTGTACTTGTTAGCCATCATCAGCAAGGTGTATCTTCAATCTTAAAGGGATTGATGCTTCCTCCTAATTCTCATTCGTTTAGATATATTGAAAACCGATAACTAACAGGGTGGATTCTGTCACTTGTTAAAGTGTCGAACCTGGAAACATAGAGAAGGGGTTAGGTGTACGAGTAGCAACTCCACCCCATAAAAAAACAACTGGGTTGCCATGGTAACTTCAAGGAATAGGAAAAGAACTTATTCTTTGCTGGAGTCGGGGTGGACGAATAACGCCTACTCTTGGAAGCCTTCGGAAAGTTAATTGATGAAAACAAAAGTAATCTTAAGGACATGAAATGTCTACATCGTGTTTGAGGCTGGCAAGGATGTTTAGATTACAAAATGAGAGGATATGGTATAGAAGTAGTAGGGATCTGTGAGAGCAGGTGGAATAGAAGTGATCTCTACAAATTCGAGAGTCAGTAATTTATTCCGGTTAGCCAGACGACAACAACGACCACATTGAGGGAATGGCTATCATCGATTATATTCTAAATTAAACACGAAGCTGGTTAAAGAAATACTGTGAACAAGGTATCATAGTCACCATGCCAATCAAAAGACAAGCATAACAACTGCATTCATAAATTCTTTTTGAAGGATTTCTTCATGTGTGACTTTATTACAATAGGCTTCAAGAAGTAACCTCAAGTTTTCACTGAAATTTTTACACAGAATTGGCCACACAGTAAATGAAGCAAGCTGATTGGTGCATTTAATTTGATCATACTGAGGAAAACATACAAATTTATGATCAAATTATCATTATGTCGACAAATAACCAAAAACTATCTAAAAAAATAGAATAAACCAAATGGTCTATTAAATTTATAAATATCTACTAAAGAAATTGTAATTACAAAAAAAATTTTAGTGATATAATGCATATTAAAGATAAAAGTTATGGAACTAGTTTGGATGCATACATATATATATTGGAGTTTTACGCGGCATTTTGACTAGTTATCATATTCACTGTCTTGTGGGCGCCTGATATCATGCCATCATCCTGGGTGTTAAAGGAAACTTCAGCCAAACCTGAGGATTTGGCGAATATGCCAGATTGGCTGAACAAGCGGAACGTTATGATGATATGGCAGCTGCCATGAAGCTCTATACCGAAAAGCAAGAGCAGCTGGGAAATGAGGAGAGGAACTTACTCTCTGTGGCATACAAAAATGTTGTGGGAGCTAGACGATCAGCGTGGAGAGTTATCTCAGGAAGTGAGGCCAAGGCAGCCAATCATCCTAAGAGAAAGCAAATTGCTGAGGAATGTCGCATTAAAATGGAAGAGGAATTGAATGAAATATGCAATGAAGTTCTAGTAAGTCGAGTTATGTTTCCTATAACGTGGATAGACATTAATAGATAAATATTTGATGCCGAATGCCACTAACAGTGAGAGCAAAGTATTTTATAAGAAGATGGAAGGTGATTACTACCGATATCTTGCTGAGGTTGCAACTGGTGATGCTAAGGACAAAGTTGTCGAAAAATCCCTAGCTGCATATGAGATGGCGACTGGTATTGCCCAGGATAAGCTTGCTACTACTCATCCTATTCGCCTTGGCTTGGCCTTAACTTCTCAGTGTTTTATTATGAAATCAAAAATGATCCCACTCAAGCCTGCAATCTTGCACGAGAAGCGTTCGATGCAGCTATTGCCGAACTTGACCAACTACAAGACGATTCCTACAAAGACAGCACACTTATAATGCAGCTTCTAAGGGACAATCTAACGGTAAGAGTCGTTTTCCTCCTATCTAATCTCTTAAATAGTTATGGGCCACTGACCAACCAGAAGCGGACGACGTTGATGCCGGTGACAACTGATCTGTCATGTAACATTTACCATAGCCCTTATATTATACAAGATCTATATTGATATTCCCTTTGTCCTTTTGTCCATTTGCGGCATGATGTTGGGGCTTTTCGTTAATGTCTAGAGGTTAGGCAGGCTAGTTTGTGTAAAGTGATAGTTTAGCTTATAAGATCAGAGATCGCTTAAGTTTCCAATTTGCCCGTGAAAGCCGAACTAGCATCTTATATGTCTTTTTATACTGGGAAATATGTGTTATAGCGTTGCTAGTCTGGCGTGGTTGGGTTTCTAGGGTTCAGCAATCTTTCTTTGTTCAGTACATTATTTAGCAGAAGTAACTTTCTATGAGTCTGAACTAATAGTAAGTTATGCCTAGGAAAATTCCTTAGTCGGGCTGATCGAAAACGTCGTAATTGTTGTTCACTACTAATGTGAATTGCCTACTTTAACTTCATGCAATCGGGTTCATTGTGGAACTGTCTTCAATAACGGGTGATTAGTAGGTTATTTTGGGTTGTGGGTGTTAATAGCTTGATGTATGCTGTTTTTTGTAGTACCGGGACCCCTACTGTATACATTTTTATGTTCGGGACCTGTTGGCATGAGTTTCCTGACGTTAATCACTTGGAATAAAATACAAGTACGTAACAACTTTACTCCTGTCGTCAACGCAGTTCCTACACCTGGTCGAATGTGACCAGGCTTCATCTGGATGTCTTTCATTGCACTAGTGTCTGCTGAGACGTTGACCCTAAAATGTGAAGAACACCGTCTCAAAAAGATTCGTATCTGCTTGCTCGTATGTCAATCCAGTCGTACACATTTGTGCACATTGTCCAGCTTATAATAGTATCCAGGGTTCCGGGAATATATCGGCAGTCACCGCGACCTCACCCCTGGGTCTGCTGGCTGCGACTGCACACAGAAGACCAACCATTGGAGTCCAATTAAATGGTAGGTCTCTTTAGTATCGGGCGTCCTATCCTAGGTCAGTGAAATTAAGGAGAACCGGCCTCAGCGTTTTGTAACTTTTGTCAGTGGTTTTGCGCATTGTCGTTCAGTTTTGTCTTCTCAAGTGTGTTATCTCCGGGGTTCTAGTGCTATGTACCATCTTACGGGGGTTACAAAGATAGGCGGAGTCTCTGTTTTAAGCATTTTCACATCTAAAGCGTCAAAAATTGAATTACTATCCACCTAGTGGCGTAATGTTATGGTCAACTCCACTAGTATTGACATCGTTCCAACTAGTTAATGTACAGCGCAGCTCGGTCGCGGCACGACATGGTCCATTGGGATTTGTCATTCTGTCTGTCTGGATTCAACATAGAACTTGGCACCGAAGTGCAGCAGTTCGAGTTGCCACGTTCCAAATAGCACACAGAGGTAGACAGAAGATGAGTGAAGAGAATCAATAGAGTTTGACAAGTATAAGAGTGAAACAGAATGGGTAATGGTAGAAAGGAATATGAAAGATTACAGAGACTGAATACATCTGCGCCATTGACAACAATTTTGAGCCATGTCACCTATTGTCTCCAGCCATTGATTCCTAGAGTCCCGAGGCCCCCAACCCGGGAGTCTGCATCTCCCTACCTGACTCAGTTTAACTGTCAAGGATTTCATGGATTGATGTCATGTTTTTGTTTGGCCACCACTGGCTCTTTTCCAACCTTCACCTATATCAGCTAGCAAAGCCCGTCGGGGGAGGCGGTGGTTAGGCATGCGCAGCACGTGACCTAGCCATCTTAGTCTATGTAACTTTATAGCCTCGTCGATTGATTTTCCCTCTCTGCCCAACACTCTACGCCTAACGTCAACATTACTTATCTTGTGAAACCACCTAACGTGAGACAGAGATCGCAGACATCTATGATCGAAAGCAGTCAACCTTTTCATGTCTTCAACTCGTATTGGCCATGTTTCAGAGCCATAGACAAGGACGGAGCGAACTCCTGAGCAGTACACACGTCCCTTGGTTGATAACCGGATGTCACGCCTACGCCAGAGATGGTATAAGTCAGCGAAAGCAGCTCGAGGGATTTGTCATTTCAACAGACTGTCTGTTAGGGTAGTATGTACTCGGCCTCCGTCATTGTTTACCAACACAACGTCGACTCGTATATTTCCGGTCGTAAATGAGACATATACAAGTAGTATAGTGTCTATTTCCCAGTGTGAACTGAATTGAGGAAGGAGTACAGTCACTCAGTTTTACATAAGAGATTCTGTACATTCTAGGCTATGGAGCTGCATGTCAGTTAGTATAAGAAGGTTGAAGTAGGTAGCGGAGGGGACCTGTGATATGATACTGGTGTGACCTGCAAATCACTATTGGAATTCAAAACTTGCTGGGGCTTAAAAGTATTGGGGAAATACGACTGTGTAGTCTGTATACTTACACGTGAATTAGGTTAAGCCATGCCACCAAGCGTTCTCAACAGGCGGTTTTAAGCATCTAAAGAAACAACCAGACAATATTAACATTTCTGATTGACAATTAGAAGCATCATCGATTGTCACATTTTTCAAAGGTGAACAGCAAGAGTGCATTCACCTAAGCGTTGCAAATCCCACGTTACATGACCCTAACTAATAGCTGCTATCTTGACGTGATTGTTGGGCTTGTATATCGCAATGAGATCCACTGGCTGGGACTTGTTCCTGCAGGTCCTACCATGCCAAAAAGGTCGTTCGGATGGTGGTTGGATTGAAGGTAGTTATCATCATAGTGGGAACTTTTTTTACACTACTTTGGGAAACTGTGACCGAAATGCTTCTAGGGAATAGGGATGTGAAAGCAGTATTTTGATAACTTGCATGCCAACTATGTTGCCTCATTTAAAAGGGGGGTCTAGAAAAGGTCGAACTCCTACTGTTATATGTCACAGACTGGTCTCTGTGTTAACTTGTAGCCACGGAAGGCGGAGAAACACTCTTGAAACCACGTCGCCAACTGCATATTGCAGCATTCAACGGCAAGACCCTTTGCCAAGTAGGACACAGACATCACTAGCCAGAACTCTGGCATCTTAAGCCATAGGTGTATGTTGTATTCCGGGGACACAAACAAAACTCAGCTGTGTTTATTATCTTAACTCCACTTGGACAATATGGTGAGTCTGTAAAATCTACCTTGTGGATGTCGGGAGATTCTTTGGCTAGTTCGTGAGGACTCACAAGAGTGTGGGTAACATTGAGTACAAAGGTAGAAAATGCCTACTTCCCTAGATCCCAGTGGATAGTCGCATGTGTATTGTCCTGCTGAACGGATCCGTTAGAAGAAAGAACTGTGTTACCCGTCAATCTCTCTTCATAATCGCCACCTACGTCCAACCGATTGCAGTTCGGATCAAATAAAGCATGACTGTCTGCTTTCAACGCAGAACTTTGCACAGATGTGCAGCAGTTTGAGTTGCCACACTCCATGTAGCTCACAAAGCAAGAGGAGGGAGTAAAGAGAGATTCCAAACAGAGATATGAAGCAAAACAGAACAGCAATATCGAAGAAGAATAGAATTTTGTTGGATATTATAAATCACAAGGAGTGGATGCATCTGCGCCATTGAGAACAAGGATTTTGAGCCATATCAGCAATTGTCTCCAGCCATTTGTTTTCATCATCCCGAGGACCCCAACCGGGAAGTCTACACCTTCCTACGTGGCTTAAACTAACTGTTGTGGATTTCATTGACTGGTGCCATGTTTTGGTTTGACTGCCACTGGCTCTTTTCAATGATTTTTTGTCAGCTAACATTGCCCATGGAGGAAGGTGATGGCTAGGCATGCGTAAAACATTTCCTAACCGTCTCAATCAGTTTACCTTCATAACCTCGTCGATTGATTTTGTCTCCTTACCTGCCACTCGACCGATGCCTAACCTCAATATTGCTCACCTTATTATACCACTTAACACGGGAGACAGAACGCAGGCACCCTGATCAAAGATAGCTAGCCTTTCCGTATCTTCCACTTTCAATGGCCATGTCTCACAGGCATAAAGGAGAACAGAGACGACTACTGAGCAGGACACACGCCCTTTGGTCGACAGCCAGCTGGACGTCACACCTACTAAGCCTGAGATGGCGTAATTTAGCAAATGCCGAACGAACCTTCTGTATCCGTAAAACAACTCCCCAAATAAGTGAAGTGCTCAACACGCTCTACAACGTCATTCCCATTCTTTAAGCTAGGATTCAATGTAGTCTAGCCCTGTAGCATGATCTTGCATTCGAAAGGAGCGAATTGCATGCCGAATATTCGAAGACTGCTGCTCGAGGTGTTCAGAAGACTGCGTCTTCACCTAGGGTAGAGGACTATATCATCTACATATTCTAAGTTGACGAGATTATCCTCTGGTAACAAGTCAATCACTGAGTCTCTGAAGTCGGTTAGGGTTTAGTCCATTGGTACATCTGTAATGAAATTGAATAGAAATGGAGATAGTGGGCATCCCTGACGGACCCCACTAATTGTCGTCACTTCAGATGACAACTTGCCGTAAGCCCTCACCTGGCTGTATGAGTTCGAGTAGAGTGCCTTGATTAATTCAATGTATTTTTTCGGCATTCCTTTTACAACCAAGCATCACCAGAGTACCTCTCGGTCGACGGAATCAAATGCCGCTTTCAGGTCAAGAAATATGATGATCGTTGGACGCTGGGAAGTATGCCTATGTTCCAGAATCTGTCGAAGGGTGAATATATGGTCAATGCACTCTTTTCTTGATCTAAAGCCTACATCGTTCTCTCGTATTTGTTTCTCCTGTGCACTACTCAGTTTACGCATGATTATTGAGTCTAGTCTGCGATCTCTGTCTCACGTTAGGTGGTTTAATAAGGTAAGTAATGTTGACGTTAGGCGTAGAGTGTTGGGCAGAGAGGGAAAATCAATCGACGAGGCTATAAAGTTACATAGACTAAGATGGCTAGGTCACGTGCTGCGCATGCCTAACCACCGCCTCCCCCGACGGGCTTTGCTAGCTGATATAGGTGAAGGTTGGAAAAGAGCCAGTGGT